AGAGTGTCATGAAGTGGTCAAGTGAGGGTTTTGGGCTGTCTAAAAATCATGAATGGTCCTGAAGTGGTGAAAGGTCCGAAGACCATGAAAACCACCCTTCACCACTTGAGGATGCAGCCTACCTAAGCAGGTGGTTTTCAGGGTCTTCGGAGCTTTCACCACTTCAGGACCTTTCAAGATTTTCAGACCTGAATGTCCCTGAAGTGGTGAAAGGTCCGAAGACCCTGAAAACCACCTGTTTAGGCAGACTGCATCTTGAAGTGGTGAAGGGTGTCTTGAAGTGGTGATGAAAAATACGACTGTTGTTAACCTTCTCTCGCTCCAGGATAACCTTTTCAATGGATGGTTCATGAGATGGGCTCGCCGTAGATGGTTGTCCAAATAAACCTTGTACTGATTTTCCCTGGATGCCATAGTGTCTACTCTCAGTCCAATCTACCACGCTGGTAGGTCCCTCTTTCTCCATCCTCGCTGCCATATCCTGAAGTTGTTGTCTCATTTCCTGGATGGTAGCGGCCTGCCTGGCTGTCTGCGTCCTGAACTCGCGTATCTCTGCCTCTGCTGCCTCCAAACGCACCCCCAGATTCTCAAACTTCACCTTCCTTCCAGCTAACTCATCTCCCAACATTAAGTACCTCTGAAATGATGTCTTGGCCAGAAAGCGGAACTTGAGGTCCAGGTACCCGTCCGCTGCCCTCGCTGTTTCGAGTCCCAATCTCTCTAGAGCCACCAACTCCCTGCCATACTGACCTCAAAACTCATCCCACATCTCCGTGACCCCATAGGGCTTAGGTGGCACGTCAGGTGGCTGATCTGGAAGCGCTCATGCCACCTCTAATCTCTGTCTCTCCTCCCAAATCTCCTCCACACGCTTCCCGACCCTGACTCGTCTCTCCTCTGCTGTCTCTCTTGCTGGTGCTCTCCCTCTTGTGCGATGGACCCCTCTCTCCAGAATCTCAGCCCTTGCCTCTCTCTCTGCCTGGTGTGGCTCCTGTGGTGGCTCCATAAGCACAGACTCCCCGATGTCAGGGTGCTCCTGGGCATGTGCCGCGAGATGTCTATCGACCGTAGAAAGGGCCTCTCTCCTCCACCCAGTCCCCTCTCGCTCCATCTCTACCCTCACCCCTGGCGAAAAAGTCGTATCAGGGGTAGGTAGTGAAACCTCTCCCTGCTGAAGCTCCTCCCCTGCCTCTTGAGCAACCTCCGTCACTATCTCCGGCCTGGACTCTGGAGCTGGCGTCTGAGGCGGAGTATGAGCTGGCGTCTGAGGCGGAGTATCTTCTCCAACCTCTATCACCTCCTCTGCAGCTCGTCCTCTCTGAGCGCCCTGCTCCGCAACTCGCTCTGGCTCGTGGACCTCCTCCCTCGGCACATCCCCAACTGGCTCATCGCGTCTCTCGTCATCCTGAGGCACTCCCCACTGTGAAATATCCAAGTGCACCTTCAACTCCAGCAGTGACCCTCCGGACGGTGGCACCTCCTGTCGAGTGTGCTGAGGGGATCCTCTCAATCCTCCTTCAGTAAAACGCTGAAAAACCACCAGGCCTAGCCCACACTCAGGATATGCTCCTTATCCTTCCGCTTCATACGCTGACTCCTCACCCCGCCTGGCAAGTGCCTCACGACCTCCTTGAGATGGGGTGGCCTCCCTGGGCTCAGAGCCCCTTTGCCTCTTGCTTCTCTGTCGCCCCTCGACCCTAGGCTGGGGAGGCTCCAACCGTCGAAAGACCTCTTTTAGGTGTGCCCTGCAACTCTCCCAATCTCAAGCCATGTCCCTAACTTGCCTGACCAACAGTCTCTCCGCCTTTCTGGTTCATAGTAGCAACGTCCGTGCCCACTCATCCCTCAAAATGTTCTGATCGTGCATAAACTTCTCAAAAGCGGGGATGAACTCTTCCACGTTTCCAATCTCCAGGCGAATCGACATGCCATCTTGTCCAACTGATGATGGTCTCAATTCCTGCATCCTCATCTCTACCTCAAGGCAGGACCACACCTCCCTACGGATCCGTGCGATGGGCTCCTCAAATCTGCCAACTCCCCTCAACCTCTCTATCATCTGGGTCACTATCCATCTCCTGTACTCCGCATACCCTCGGAAATCAACCAGAAAGAGTTCTATATTCCTATCGTCATACACAGGCATGTGCTCCCTCCGATAAGACTCATGCCTTTCGTATCCCCCTGATGCTCCCAGCGGCCTCCGTGGTGGCCGCATCACCCCCCCTCCTCTCGGCATGGCTGTCTTCTTAAAGTCAGACCTGCAGAACAGGCGAAGGAGACGACGGGCACACAGAAAGGGTGAGCAAATATGCAAGCAAGGCTTACTCAGATCATAAAGCAAGCACACATCCTGTCTATACATTCTACCATCTTACTTCTTTCTATGACCTAACTACAAAACCTTTCTACATACATAGGGTTCTACCATAAAGGGTTAGATTGTCCATCTTACCTCTTCTCTTGCCACGAACTTCTTCAACCTCGTTCTTGACACCCAATCTTTCCATTCTGTTTCATCCTGCTCCTCAATCTAGTAGGCGCCAAAATCTCTGCACCGCACAATTCGATATGACCCTAACCACCTCTTATCGAGCTTCCTAGACCACTGCTTCTCAAAGGATGAATCGTACAATAATACGATATCCCCAACCTCCAATGGAGCTTTATTTACGCGTGTCATCTGGTCCCAGCGAGCCTTATCATCCATGCGACTCCTTTCCACTTGATTGGATGCCTCCTGAATTCTTTCCTCAATTGCCCCCACCTGCCGTGCCCGAATGTCGAGCAACTCTTCGAAGGACAGGTTGGTTTCTAGGTCCTGACGCCTCCAGGTTTTCAGGAAGCTCTCAATCGGGAAAGTAGCATGTCTCCCGTACCATAGAGTCGCTGATCATACTTAGTGATCCTCTTCACCATAATATTTTTGACAATAAATGTCGCCCTCAGGTTTCTTGGCCACTGATTAGGCCTACCTTCAGTCCACTTAGCCAAAAGATTCGTGATGGTGTTGTGCCCTCTTTCTACTGGAGCATTTGCTTGAGGGTGTGCAGCGGTGGTATAATTGGCTACCACACTATACTCTGAAAACAATTTCTGTACCTCCTGGCAGGTAAACTCTGATCCCCTATCCATCAAGAACTCCCTGACGAAGGGATAACGGTAGTACTCCACGATGCAACTCACTAGAACCGAGCCGGTCTCTGTACGAGTGACGCGACCATCTACAAAACCAGTAAGGTTATCTTGCACATTGAAGATGTAGTTGTAGTCATGATCCCCAATCGGCATGAATAATAAGTCGAAATGTAGTACGACACCCACTTCCCTCTCTAGCCTAGGATGCAGCGGCTCTCCAGGCCTCTGAGGAGACCTCTCTTGACAGGATACACAGGAACGACAGGACTTAACGACCATCTCCATCATTTTATCCCAGTAGTATAGCTCGTTTATCTTAGCGTATGTGGCATTGACTCCTCGATGCTCCCCTACAATGTCATCATGAAGTGCAACTATAACATCGATCTGACGATTTCTTTCACACACGACCCTTCAGGGATTCCCTACTTGTCTCTTCACAAAGAGATGACCATCCCTTACCAAATAGAGATGTTTCATCTTTTGAACCCTCTCACTTGCATCCCTATCCCTTATCTCATATGATAGGAGTCCCAACTCCAGGTAGATCTCATCATACTCCTTTGCACAAAATGCTTATTTGATCTCCTCTTCCTCAAACTTGTCGTCCTGACTCTCCAATACAATACCTTCACTCTCAACCGGATTCAACGAGCCTATTCGGTCAAAGTTCCCTTGCAGAAGTGTATTTGTGAGGAGGTATATTCCTCCCATCAACTCCTCGTGCTTCTCTACCTGGTCCGACCCTTCTTCTATCGCTCTTACCTCCTCTACTAGACTATGCGTGTCTGCCAGTGCCAACTTCATTATCCATTCGACATTTTTGTCGCTCCACGGGTCTTCTTCCTCAAAAGGCTTGAGTACTATCTCTGCCTTCTGTTCATATCCCCTTGGTGCAAACCAAATGGGATGGCCGACGCAATTCGGCACTCGCAAGGACCACTTATTAATATGAAGGCGAACATCTTCCTCCTGAATCAAGAAGCCATCGACTGGATGCGTGTTCTCTACTGCTCCTTCCTCTGGCCTATCCCAGTTTATGCGACTTAGTTCATCTGCTCTATTCTTGTTTTCTGGAATCCATTTCAATTCGAAATTAAACATTCAGATGTATGTTAACCATCTGACGACAGTTGGATCCGATGGAACGTAATTCCTCAGGTAGTAAGCGAGCGCAGTTGGGTCTACTCTCAATATAAATTTCCTGCCAAAGATATAGTTTCGAAAAATCCTCAGACAATGAAGGACAACGAGAGTCTCATTTTTAAACTTAGAGTAGTTCCTCTCAATTGTATTAAGAGTTCGACTCTCCTTTCCTTCGACATCTGCCTACATCAAGACTCCCACGCCCGTCTCAACGATGAATGACCTTACCTAAGTGGCCTCTTAGTCTGGTGCTCCCAATACAAAACCCCCTTCCTTAAATTCCTCCTTCATTCATGTCACAACTTTCTCCTGGTCCTCACCTGAGACTCGTTCCTGATCCTGACGTACCAGCTTTCTTAGGTGCTCAGTCTTGGCTGCAAAGTTTCTGATGAAGGTTCTCCCAAACCCACACGTGCCGAAAAAGTTCATAACATCTGTTATCGAACGAAATAACACTGACCATTCAATAATTTTGTCCGTCTTTTTCACGTCTGGCCAACGACCACTTTCACTACAGACGAACTCCAAAATGGTAGCCTCCCTCGTGCAATGTCTGGATTTGGCTCCACTTGCCGTAAGGTTATGTTCTTCAAGCAAACTCAGGACTTTATCAAGATCCAGAATATGCTTCCAAACAAAACGCTTTACTCCCGGCAAGACTTCGTCATCCTCTTTTTCCCTTGGTCTCTTTACCGCCAAGTCATCGATATATGACTGATTGATATGCGGGCTGATTGTGTGCATGGCTTGAATCATATGTCGTTGAACCATTGCCACTGCATTAGTCATTTTTTGCGGAGCCACATTCATATGAATTAGCCCCCTGGGCGTATGCATCGCTGTCATCGGTCTATCCGACGGATAGATTGGGAATTGGTCGTACCCAGAGTAGAGGTCTATAAGCGAAATTATAGGCCTCCCTGCACACGACTTCGACAATGCGTCTGCATTTGGCAAGCCCCCCTCATCTCGCACAATCACAACGTTCAAACGCTGCAAATCCTGCACCCATTGCAACGTCTTGTTAGGTTTGACAAAACAAAATCATGGAGATGCGTACGGCCCACTTGAGTAGTCAGTGACATGCATACGCATCTTGCCGTCGAGATAATTCACCACCTTCTTCTCCTCGTCAAGATTATGATATTTTGCCCCTCTAAATTTCATGGTTCATGCGGCACGGTATGAATCCGAATCATAGGAATCTTATCCACGTCCAACCTCCCGCGTTGATCGTCATTGAATGCATAGGCGCGATGCATCTTCTTCATCAGCCCTACCATCAACACTCTTTCTGGGGTGATAGGAATCCAGGTTTCCCACTATCAGCTCTTCCTCGTTCTCTTCATTGACACGACACGGCCCTGCTGCTGCTTGCTCCCTCATTCACCGTATCAATCCTCGTTCCCGCTCGTAATAAACCTCCTCATCCTCTGTGACGAGAACGGGAACTGGGCGACACTTATCTATGGTCTTGTACCGCCTTTGGGAACCTTGCTTGAGCTGTCCTTTAAAAAAGGTTGGCTTACCGTTTGTGCCTGCATTATCGCAGAATCCCTTTTTCCACTCGGAAGCCGATAAACCAACTCTACTTCCCCAGCCTAGGGACATTCTAGGATTTGCTCCCTCAATGCCTAAATGATGTCTGGATCCGCCATCGCGTCAGTGACCACCACGCCCATGACCTTGTTCACATCAGATAAACTGAGTGAAAATACTTCCTCCCTTGCCTCCTCTTCTGGTTCCTCAAGGAGTCTCCGATGCTCGTTCTCAGACTCCTCAATCGTGAACGAACTAGGGTTGGGCTGGTTCCTTATACTATGTAGTCCCGTGTTTCGGCAGGTAACTACCTCATAGTTCTCACACACCGGGTCACACAGGATCAGGATCAGAGTTCCATCGTGTTTGTTAAACATCAATGTCTCTATCCTGCACAGGAATGACCTCCCTAGGAGGATAGCATGGTCTACTTCGGGCATAAAGTAGAAACAAGCCCTGACCTTCACCCTTCCAATCTCGATAAACACATTCGATGTCGTTCCACAGAATACCGCCTTGCAGTTGGCTCCATGCAGGATGCCACAATCCGAGCGGTCTATCTCTAGTCCAAATCTGAGTGCATCAACCTCCTTGATGATGTTCATTTCCGCCCCCGTATCCACCATCGCTACACACTTCGACCCTTTTACTACCAAATCCACGATCCCGCAGACCACACACTTTCAGTCCATCGTTGTCCCAGTTTCCGCCCATTCCGCCTCCTTTGGCAGCGCTTAGATGGACACTTGGCACCGACCGTTGCAGAAAACCTTCCCTTTAACCCATCACGGAGCTTAGGAGCAGACGTCAGGATCTCCTTCAGGGTCATGGGGTCATTATGACCCTCAAGCAACCTGTCAATCACTTTCTCCATGTCGAACCCTTCCTCCAACCGGACCGCATACTTTTTTTTCTTTTGCGCCACATCGCGCAAAACTGGTTCAACTTCCTCCTGAGCTCCCCTCTTCTTGACTCTCTTTTCCGCCTTTCGATCCTCCTCTTGGTGCATGCTATCGTCTTGCTCATCTTCATCGTTGTCCTTCTCTGCTTCCACGGCCTCTTTCCTTCGTTCCGACTCTGGTTCTCTCTGAGGGTGTTCTTGGCTTGCACTTGCCTTGCTTTGGCCCCTGGTTTGTGCAGCTTGCACCATTCTCCCTTGCGCTGTAGGGGACCTAAAGGTCATTCCAGACCGTAGGCCTGACCACACAGTGGCTACTCCGGGCTATCCTTGTCGTCCCGGTACTAACTCTGGGTCAGATTCATAGAGGAAGACTTTGGGGATGCTGGTTCTCCATTCCTTCACCTCTTCACATATATCTACCAACTTTTGTCGGTATCTCCCCACTTTCTTCCACAAGTCTTCCATCTTTCTCAGAAGGGCTGATGCTGGCTCCACTTCCTTATTCACGTCCTCTCCATCCGACTCGACGACTATAGGCTCTTTTTTTACAGTCCCTGCCTGTAGCCTTTAAGTCACCTCTTCATTACACTCCACCTCCTCCACCCTTATTGGTGGGTCCTCCTTTTCTTGCCATAGTCTGGACGTGGCTGGTGCTGCCTGTGCGCGGCTACGTGCCTAAGGGCCTTTGCTCTCACTCCACCTGGAATCTTTGGGTCAATGTACTTCCCGTACTGATCATATATATCACCGTCCATGTTCAAATAGATCAGTCCGGACTTCTCATCATCTAGTCTTGTATTGCAGAATCGTATTGTCTGGCCTTGCTTGTCGTAATGCAAGGAAATAGCGGTCCTCCAATCAAAACGAGGTCTCCCATACCCTTAACCCCCTTGATTCCCTTGACCTTGGTTGTCCCATTGTCCTCTTCGGCCACCGCCATTCCTTCCACATCCCCTTCCGCTACCTCTTCCTCTATTCCCCTGGTTGCCCTGACCCTGATTCCCTTCTCCAGCCACACTACCTTGGTGTGGGCGATGGAGGTGGCACCATGGCTTGGGGCCTTGCATGAGGTACCATCTGTCCAGACGGAGCTGGACCGGCCCATGGCACGAAGGTGTTAAACACAGGCCATGGCCATTGTCCATATGGTGGTACCCCTGCTTGCGAGGGTCCTCGCTACTTGACAGAGGTGTTGTACTCGGCGAGGCCACTGCCAATGCTTGGGCCGTCTGTCCCTTTTCCGGAGCCTTGCCTTCTTTGCGTCAAATTGCACTGTTTGCGCTGTGCCTTCAGAAGGTGTTGGGGCATTGACTCCTCTTCTTCCCATTCTTCCGGGATGGTCTCCTCTACCACCGACCCTTTCCCCTTTCCTTGGATCGTAGTTACCACTTTCTTCTGTACCACAACATCTCTCCCATAACCCAATTCTGTGAGTACGTCCGTAACGATCCGTTTTACTTCCGGGGTCCCTGAGGAGATCCGCCTTTGTTGGCGTATCTGGTACTGATCCACCTGGTCCAAACTTCCTTCTTCCACACCCTTGTCAATTGTGGCCCAGGTGTCGCACTACCGCCCCCATGACTCGTTAGCTCCGAGGCTTCTGAGGCGTTGAACAATCCTAGGAAGATAGCACACTGCGCTTCTTCTGAGATTTCGGGGACCTTGCCTTTTTTTTAAACTCTTGTACAAGGGCCCCGACAGTAGTGAAGTCGTCTCTGTTCATTGCTTCCAAGTCTATCGTGGTTAACAGGCCATCCCCTAGCCTGTACTTCCTCTGCATGCCATCCTTGAATCTTGCCCAACTACCATTGGCTGCATTTATGACCTTCTCTACTTCCTGATGGTGTCCATGGAGCACGTACTTCGGAATGCGTTGAAACTTCACCGCATCTAACAATTATACCAGTGCCTGTTCAACCAGCTCTAACCATTTTGAGACTCGCTCCCCATTGAAGCGGAAGGTGTCGACCTTAGGGACGTTGCTTGGCACCCTCTCTCGTTTGTCCATACCCTCGATCAGATCGGCGATCGTCAAGGCCTTCCCGACACCATCTGCTATGCCTCTCGACATTTTGGCTGAATTTCTCGCTCAATTTCCCTGTTATAAGAAGAGATAACAACTTCATTTAATCAACCTTACTTATCACAACTCCTGTCAAGTTTCCTACATAGTCATCTCACGATCCGACCTACCAGACACTACCATATTCCCCTTTTTGAACCTACCTTTTGCAGAGTCTGCTTTCTCTATAAGACTTGCCTCACAGTCGCTTAAGTCAGACAGTCAATCAAATCAAACATAAGGACTATTATATTAATAGCACCCGCTTAACATAGATAATTCTTTCATCCCTAAGACAAGACATCGCGTACTTTGTCTCAAAGTTTATTAAAACTTCCCTTATGCCAAGTTTCTTCTCAATCCCATACTCGGATGTCGTTTCACCAGCGACAACGATAGACATCCGTCATCCCCGGCAATGGCGCCACCTGTCGAGCCCATCGGTCCCGCGTCGCACAAAGGGCGGAACCCTCCCGGCCGCGTCACGCAGGAGTTGGTATCATCCTCATCGCGATACACATGGAGCTTACGCAAGCCGCTCCGATCGAGTGTGCCAGCCATACCTCTCGCGAACCCCTACAACAGCATAGGGCCAACACGAGGTACAACTTACCTCCACCTTGCAGGAGTTGTCACCTCCCTTCGGTGGGCGTATCCCCGCCGAGCTACCAGTCCACAGTACGAAAGCTAATCAGTTGCAATCACGGAGGTGGACCAACCGAGAGCGTTTCTCATTCGCTGTAGCATAGAGGGTATGCGAGGTTTCACACCTCTATCGGACTCACACGGGAACCGACCCACTAGGGGGGCTGAAGTCCCAAGCGCGACTCGTCGTCGGTCAACCAGGATGCATCCCACCTACCACGCGTTACACCACAACACTCACACATACAGAATGACACAGAACAAACAACACAACAACACTCCTAAGCCCTTTTTGTATCCGTCCCATAACCTTCCGACGCGGAAATCGGGTAGGTGACGCGCTCGAAACTTAGTATAAAACCGCGCGGATGCAGGACCTTCCCATATCAACTAGCAATGCATGAATACACAAGCAGGCTATGATGGCATACTATGTAGTGCCCATAATCAAGCGGTCTCTCGTGGATCCGAGTACCGCTTATGATACTCATATGTCAATCTTGAAGTATCGTGAGGGTGGGCCCCTTCACGATATTGCACGACTGAAGTAACAGCCGTTCGGCCCCCGCGGCACCTTCGATCCTTAGGCAGAGTGTCCCGGTGGGCAGGGCAAATAGGCTCTGCGTGGGGGGTGATCCCTTCCACGCGGAGTCTAGGACCTGGGATGTCATGAACAAGAACCTCGAATCCAGGCTCAGGACCCACGTCCGACTAAGAAATTTTAAGAAGCAAAGTAGTAAAGGAAGGGAGTTTCCTTTCCTTTTTCAATCTCAACCCCGGTTAAAACCCATAGGCGTGGCCTCTGTAGGCTATGCAAAACACTCAAACATAGGTAAGCATACATATATATATATATATATATATATATATATATATATATATATATAGAGAGAGAGAGAGAGAGAGAGAAAGAGAGTGAGGAATAAATATGTGATGATCACTTCTCACAATCGCAGTAAGACTCCTCTCAGTCATATATGTATGTCATCGCAGGCAGTCAAATCCAAAGTCCGAACCACAGAACATACCTGCAATCACATCAAAGAATCAACAAAAGTCAATGCACTACACGGGGTCAACTTCAACCACTCTCTATATTCGTACCCCTTGCTTTAGCCATGCAAGCCCCAACTTTTGTCAAATCCTACAAAAATAAATACTCGGCACCTTCGTTAAATGCTAGGTTGTTTTATCGGACGTCCGGGACCCCCTTGACCGTTCGGGATGTCCGACCGGACGTGTGGTCGGACGTCGGACCGGACGGGGGATATCCGACCTAGCGCAAAAAAAANCACACACACACACACACACACACACACACACACACACACACACACACACGCACACGCATTGTAGTAGTGAATAATTCGACGTCGTAGTGGAAGTTTCGATCGATTTCGCTCCTCTTCTCGATTGAAGCTCCGCGAGGAATCGCTTGAAGTCCTCTCTTTTCTTCCTCTCATTCATACACACACGCCTGTAGTAGTCGTGGACATTCCGACATTGTAGTGGAAGACTTGAGCGACTAAGCTCATCTTTTCGATGGAAGCTGCACAAGCCGAACCACGGCCTCAGAGACTTGCTCCGTGGATCACACACACACACACACACACACACACACACACACACACACACACACACACACACACACACACATATACACACACACACACACACATACGCATTGTAGTAGTGAATACTTCGTCATTCTAACGAAGGATTCGATTGATTAAGCTCTTTGATGGAGTCGAGCAAGGCTAATAGGGAACCTACCTGCTCTTTTTCTCTCGGTCCCTCGTCGTCGTCGTAGCAGCCGTAGTGGATCAGTCGGTGCCCTTCGTAGCTCAAGTACAAGGTCCCAAGATCCATGCCTGGATACCGCCGTTGTCGACCGTAAGGGAGGTAAGTCTTTCCTCCCCCTCCTTTTCCTTCCTTCTCCCTTCTCCTTCTCCTTCCTCTTCTTCCTCCTTCTCCTCCTTCCTCCTCTTGCGCCTTTCTCTTTCCTACTCCGACGCTATCTCTACTGTCTGCAGGCGCTATCTCGACTGCATGCGCTATCTCGATTGTCTGCATGTGTTATCTCGCCCCTGCCTCTTCTTTTGCACATCCCGTCTCCATCCTTCCTTACGCTCCCCTTTCGTCCTTCGCTCATCCTCCGCGGGGGACCCCAGCGTCGGGTAAATCCGGCTTTACCGGTTCCCTTGCAAATTTCTCTCGCTGAATCTGTCCTACATTCGAAGTCAGATTCGCGAGAGCGATCCAAGTGTGTCTAACCGCGGGGCCTAAATCGAATATAACTAATAACAAGATTAAAAGAAAAAAAATAAAGAAAAAGAAAAAGAAAGAAAGAAAGGAACCAAGAAAAACTACTACCAACTTCCCCGTTGTGCCAACTGTCGGCACCTGACACGGGGAGGGGCCTTAACCTTTTCACCCCTAACTTCTCGTAGTCTGTAGGTCACGGGTTCAAGTCTCTGCTACCCCTTGCTCTTAAGGTCAACACTGAAACCCATTGAGCTAGCTCCCATTTCGAGTAGAAGGGGAGCAGCTCTATATACGTAGTTAGATGAACTCAGTTTTTCCTGGTGGCCTGAGTCTGTTATGCCCAAGC